GTCATAAACTCTTTGTTATTACAAAATATACGTGCCTTATATTGTAAAGTGTATTAATCTAGTAATTCAACAATTTAAGTACTTATAAACTAATTAAGAGTTCACAGTTACTCAACAACTACTTGTAATAAAAGTAATATATTATATATCGCATAAAAAAGAAAGTTAGCAATTGTTATTTGTAGTGAAATAACAAATAAGAATAAACAACAATAGTAGTTCATCTTTGTTGTTATTGATACTACTAATAATTGATTAATCAATTTCTCTATTTTGTTATTATATATTTGAAAAGTTCACTTTCTCAAATGACATTGACTTCAACATTTGAAAAAAAAATCTTGTATTCCATAGATTTTTTTTAATAAAATATTGACATACGAAATTAAGAAATAAACAAATTTTGACTAATCTAGTCTACTTATTTAAACAATGTTTAAAGAAAAAAAGGAAGAATTTAAAAAGAAAATGATAGGGAAAAAAGAAAAATAACAATGCCTAAAAAAAAGGATAGATTTGTCCAAACATATCATTCAAGGGGGCAAAATGCCTATTATTATAGTTTATGGGGTAAACTGCAACTCGGTATATAGTTTGTGGGGGTTTTTTGCATTTAACCCTTTCAAAAACCTCCCTTAAAGTTTTTCATAATATCACTTGGCTTTCTTGAGATTTTTAAAATCTCACTTACCTTCCTTAAAATGATATTTCTTGTAACATTTTAGTCCCTTTGAAGGATAGACAAGAAAGATACAACTTTTATTCTAATACCACCCTTGTGTCATCTTACTTATGAAGTTTACAGCAACAAAAAGAAATAAAATGAGATTAATTTTTATAAGGTGTAAATTTCTTGACTTGTACTATTTTTTTGTATTAGAACAAAAACAAAATTTATACCTTAAAAAATTCACATGTACGAAGGGATTATTTTAGTTTCAGTGCAATTTAAACTGTATCATGTATTAAAATATATTTCTTAGAAAAATTTCTTGACTTCCTTATAACTGTCCACGAAAATTTTCAAAATATCAATGATTCACCAAAATTCTTCTAAGTGGTTGACTTTGATTAGATTAATTTACCCATATTCTCTGCTGTCCATCATGATCTCGATATAGAAAAATATTGACCATTATTAGATATCAATTTTGTCTTTTTAATCTACATACTTTGGTTAAAATTTTATTTTATTTTATTTTTTGGTTAAATAGTTATTAAGAGAAAGGATAATGTTGTCAATTTGTGACCTTTGATATGAATATTTAGTCTTGTCAAATTGATAGGGGAGGTAACTGAGATTTTAAAAAATTGAAAGGAGCTAAGTGATATTATGAGAAACCTCAGGAGAGGTTTCTGAAATTATCCCCAAAAAATAAAAAACAGAGAACATATGGTTGGATTATTCAAATCTGAAGGGAAAAAAGGATATTTTTGCAAACCTCCCCTAAGATTTTTGATAATTATAGAAAGTTCCCCTTGATTTTTAAAAATTACACTTATCTCCCTATTTTCATTATTCAAGTAACACTGTAAGCCCAAAAAGCTATGCTTTTTCTCAACAATCCTAGAATGCCCTTGGGTTATAATTCACAACATCCAAAATAACCACTAAATAAACACTTACTTTCGCCTCAAAGTTTCTCTTTTACTTAAAAACTTCTAGTATAAATCATTAAATCAACTAAAAATGCTGCATCAGATACTCAAAAACTTACCTATAATGTCATAATAACCTCAAATTTTGCTTAACACCTAGCAACATTGTGACGCCCCCACTTCTCCCTAAGGCGAACCAAAGGGTATCGGTGGGACGCCTGCTCAACTCTCGCCAGGACTCGATACAAATTCAATTCAAATTTAAGGGTAACCATCGATACTAAAAGTCGAAAATATAAAGAAAGTTTGCTTCCTTAATAAACATTCAAGTCTTACATCACAAGATACCAAAAGTACATCTCATTCTGTATCCTAGGCTTGAAGTTTAGGATGCCGGACTGTGGGTTTGGTTTGAAATATCAGTGATTCTTGCGGGATGTCTTGACTTGATCGGTACAAGATGGAATGTCGAGGATGACATTCTTTTAAGGAGGGGAGTTTGTGACGCCCCGAAAGAATGAGTGTGAGAACCCGCAAATTTTTATATATTTTCGCGACATTATTTTGTTTACTCGTTTATAATTTTGTGCCTTTCTTCAATATATTAATTTCGTATACATTGTTTTTAAGTAAATATGTTTTTCAAATCATTTCCTTGATACAAGTTAGTCCACGTTAATTTTGAAGTATATTTAGACGTGGGACCCACTAGTGCGGTAAATGCATTATATTTTTGACAACTTGTTGGAATTTTGTATTAAGTGATATTATTTTACAAGGTGTTAAGAGATTTTGAACTTTATGTTCGTTCAACGGATTTTCAACAAAACATCCAACCCATTGGGCTGCCGTAAGCAGTAAAACAGCGAAGTATATTTCTGAACAGAACGTAGCAAAAATCTTTGGCAGATTCGATGAAGATCTGGGTGTGTGCGGGAAGTAAAAGACAAAAAGAAATTACCTTTGATGTCTTTCGGAATCTACTGAACGAAGAACGGCTGACAAGAGTGCATTCGGATGAAGCTTTGCGGGCGGTCATGGCAGATTCCGACGACGTGATGGCGGCTGCGATTCCTTTCGTCCTCTGCTTTTCATTTCCGCCAAACCTTCCTATTTTCCGTTGCTTTTCCTTCTTGTTTTGCAGCTCACGGCCTCCCTTCTTGCTCTCTTTTCTGCTCAGCCGAGAGCTCTCTCTCTCTCTCACCCCCATTTCTCTCTAGTTCCCCCAGAAATCTATCTTTCCGCCCTTAGCCATCAGCCCTCAGATTTCTTACCTCCTCCTCTCACTCAGCCGCCATTCGTTCCTCAGTTGTTAGCCCAGACTTCCGCTCGGTTCTCGGCAGTCACTCCCCTCCTTCACTCTTTAACCCTAGCCGCCAGTTTTTCTTCCCTTTTCCTCGGCTCTTTCCTTCTCTTTTTCTCAGCCGTCACTAAGAACCCTTCTCCTCTTTTTCCTCCAGCTTCATGGCTTTATATAGACATCAGCCACCCCTCAAACCTAGCATCTACGGTCCCTTCTTTTCTGCATTTTTCTGTGATCATCCGGGAGCCCTTGGATGGCTTTTGCTTCCTAAAATTTTAGTTGCCGGATGAAGGGTCGGATGGCCTTGTACTATGCCAATCTAATGGATTAAAATGTCGGGCAAAAATGACCGGAAAACCCACTGGACAAAACAGCATTTTTGTTTCTTGCATGCTGCTATTTCCGCGTTCTTCTTCTTTTCCTTTCTCTTTTTTTTTTCTTTTTTTTTTTTGAGTAAATAACAGCAAACTAAAAGAAAATAAAGCATGTTTTTTGTGAATGATTTTTCTTCTCTTCTTCTTTTTTTTTCAATAAATTCTATGATACAAATGACTTAAAAATAAAAGTAAAAGACTAAAAGTAAATAAAATTAATAAAAAATAAAAATAATAGTAAACAAAAATACCCTAAAAATTTGGTGTCTACAGCCAAGAAACCCTAAAAGAACCAAAGTAAAACAATTGAGGGTTTCACATCCAAAATTGAGTAAACAGAATACACAAGTGAGGCTCGACTACTAGTCGTATGCCTCGCCAAATAATTACTAATACAAGGGTGCAAAACATGATTTTGGAAACAAAAGTAACGAGAGGACCTAGGGTTTGAACGACCCAAAAAGTCCTTCATTTCTTTCAAAAGGCAACTCAAATCGAAAGAGATGAAACGGCCTAGAAAATTGGACAGCATTTCCCCTGAATTTGCTTACTTTTCCAGCCATCATGGCTTCATTATTTTCCTCAATCAATCCCAAAATCTCCTGTTAGTGCGGTAAATGCATTATATTTTTGACAACTTGTTGGAATTTTGTATTAAGTGATATCATTTTACAAGGTGTTAAGAGAATTGTATTGGAGAGACAAAAAGATAAGTTTTAAACCCAATGGGGCTTTTCCTTTTTTTTTTTCTTTTTCAAAACTAAATTTGCCCCAGTGTGGGGTTTGCGATCCTCAGGGGTTACCAAACGAAATGATTTATTTTGAAGGTTCAAAAGGGATAACTAGGAATAAAATGTCTCAATGGGAAAGGAAGAGGGCTTGACTTTCATTCCATTTTTCGCGTTAACCCTAAAAGGAAACTTCCATTAATGCGAAATTTCTTGCATGTATCTGAACTAATTGACTGAAGAAGACTCATGTTCATTCATATTTGTGAAACATAAGTGATCCACCGGACAATATTCTTCCTTTCTCTTTTTCTTTTCCTCATTTTCATCTTTTTTTTTTGGACAACAAACCCTTTACAATTTTGCACCAACAATAGTTGCCTCAACATTTTGTCTCTTTTCTGAGTAGTCACACTATCTCTTTTATTATAAGCACAGGTCGCTCCTTTTGATTGCATTTGATTGCTTCTCATCAAATAAAGATTATTGTTCTTGACCCTGCTTTCCATCAGCCTCCTTTTTCTGATTTTTTATTCAAGTGACAACTAATTTTATTCCCTTCATCTTGATCCCTATTCGGTCTGAGTTCCTCCTTCGAATCTCTTTGGAGTATGTTCGGATACCTCCTCGCTATTCCTACATTCATGAGGTATCGAAATTACAACCATCAAATTCGAGAATGATAATATCCAAAGGGTCAGGGGGTTTTATTTTGGGCCATCTGAAAAGAATGTGTAATTAACAGTACATATAAAACTATACATTTTATTGCATTTCAAGAAAGAAAAAAACCAAACTTAACATCATGTTACTTGCTAAACGAAACGTGTTCTCAAAAGCCACTTGATTGAAAACTATTTACAAAAACACATGGTTAAACAAAAGACACACGCATGAACGATTTTTCATTGGCTTTAACCAAAACAATTCCCCAAATTTATCGAAACTTCCCTTCAAGAGGGAGAAATCTCACTAATTCAGCCCCTTCCAAGATTTTCAAATTTTTTCATTGGGGGTAAATGCCGTGATGGTGTCCTTGTGTTCAGGAGAAGGATTCGTACTTGTACTCGGTCCTTGTTCTTCCCTTTTCCTTAACACTATATCTCCTGCTTCGATCATGTCCTGGATCTTATGCTTTAGTACCCAACAGTTATCGGTCGAGTGACCAGGCGCTCCAGAATGGTAGGCACAAGCGGCTTGAGGGTCGTACCCAGCAGAGAAACCTCGACGAGGGTATTTTGGAGGAGGTATGTCATCAATTTTACCGGTGGCCTTGAGCTGTTCATACAGTTGGCCAATAGGCCTGCCTAAGTTGGTAAAAGTTTGAGATCGGTCGAGGTTTTGTATTTTATTGGTTTGAGGATGGTTGTAGGTCTGTTTGTTTGGTGGAACAGGTTTAGGGTTATAAGGTAGACGAGGTTGAATTTGAGGGTTGGTTTGAGATATTGGGAAGGGTATTGTAGGTGGGCTTGCATAGTTTGGCCAAGAGCGAGGGTGATTGACAGTAATATAGTAAACAAGGCCTGGGTTTGGGTAGTGAGATGAATATGTGGGGTATTGCTGAAATCTAGGTCGGGAAGAAAAGCCTTGGTCCCAGACTAATGCGACTTCCCCATCTTTCTTTTTGAACTGAGGCATCTTGCTACTACTGCTTGGATTTTGCAAGGCTTCTAATTGCGATTTTAGAGCTGACACATTAACAATCTTTCCCGCTCTTACAAATTCATCATATTCCTCCAATTTGTTGACAATTTCTGCAAACGAGCATCCAGTCATGCGGAAAATTTCCTCAAAATAGGGCGGGTCATGAGTTTTGATAAATGTTCGAACAATTTCATCCTCGGTCATAGGAAGTTCCACCTTGGTAGCCAATTTCCTCCATCGCTTTGCATAAGTTTTGTGATCCTCAGATAGCTTCCTTTTAGTCCCTTCAAGTGTGGTCCTCGTCAGAGCAAGCTCGTAATTATACTCGTATTGTCTCACAAACGCAGTTGACAAGTTCATCCAGGTCCTCATCTCATCAGGCTTCAAATTAGAGTACCAATCGAGTGCGTCGCCTTCTAAGCTTTCAGGGAACAACCGAACCGGCAAATTCTCATCATCTATTAGCTTTCCTAATTTGTTGGCAAACATTCGGAGATATGTCTTAAGGTTGTCTCTTCCGTCATATTTGCTAAACTTGGGTGCTTTAAAACCCACAAGCAATTGCATATTGGGGAACAAACACAACTCGTTATAATCCAACCCTCCTTGTTTACTCAAGCCTTCGCTGTTCCTCATGAATTCATCCAGTCGATCCAACCTTTTTAACAGATTCTTGTCGATTGGCACGAAGGATTCCCCAGCTTCAATTTTTCCTTGGGTAGCGGTGTCTAGCGTGAATGGTTCAGCGGTGGAATAGTAATAGGGTCCTTGAGGTTCAAGTGGCATGTTCAGATTTACAGGTGGATAATTTTGTGGAATTTGAGGGTGAGGAGGATTTGTTTGGATAGTGAGTGCATAGGTATGTGGTAGGCCATGAGTGGAATAGGTGAAGGCCTCTTCAGGTGGATTTATGACACGTGAAGTAACGGAGGTTTGAGTATAAGGTAAAAGTATTGGTTGCGGTTCAGTTTGGTTAGTAGGTAAGGGCTCATGTTGAGTACCGCTGCCACTTCCAGCAACTAACTGATCGATTACGTGCCATTGGGCCGTCATTTCCATGCTTAGCTCATTAAATTTATTCAAAATTTCGCTCAGTTGAGCTCCCAGGTTTACCAAATCAGCTGATGGTGCCGTTACAGGCCTATCAGAGGATTTAGGATGTGTACTCATGTTTACACGATTTCTCAAAACTCGACTGCGAGATCGTGTGACGATGGGGTTTCTTCTTGTAGCTATATTTGAAAAACACCTGACATTTAGAAAACCCTATTTAGATTCCTTTCTTGATTAATTGCTGACAAAAAGAAAGAAAAAGAAAGAGAAAAAGACGGGAGTTAGTAAAAATTAAAGTAATTTGGATGCATGTTCTATTGGGGAGCCTTTTTATGCCAAGGGTAGGCCTAACATGAGAATGCAATCCTCTAGGGTAGGCACTATACAATACCTGATGAATCCAATCAACTTATTGATATTCGAGTGAAAAGCAATTTGAAAAATTTGGCTAATTGGAATGAGAAAAGACATTTGTCCTAACAAAATGAGAACAAAGTCCGAATGGATTGATTGCTTTGATTAATACATAAAGTGATGTGTGAAATAGCTTACTCTTGAAAGGATTGCATCGTCACAACTAGTTTATTCAGGAAATCCTAGATCGAAACCTTAAAGGAGAATAAATGGGTGAAATGGATCGGATAAAATTGATGATTTATTCAAAAATTGACTGGATCACCCTAAAACGGCTAAATTGGTCAAATGAAATGGATGAAATTGATGATTTATTCAAAAATGATTGGGTTGTACAAAAAAATGAATTAATGGGTCAAATGGATTGGATGAATTTGATGATTTATTTGAAAATCAATTGAATTGTTTACCTATTGGTAGTTTTCAAAAAATTCATTACGATACATCAGTCTATGAGCCTTCTAAAATCAAGATTTTGGCCTCAATATATTTATTGTCTCAACAATGAGGAATTATTTGTAAATTTTTTCAAGTTAATGTCCTTTAAGCAAGGGATTTTTACCAACTATGTTTAAAATGGCCAAAAAAAATATTGTTAGATGCTCATATTCTAATGTGCAAAATTGTTCCATCATTCTCGGTGTTGTTATCGCGGAAGGGATCGGATCCTACCTTACCTTGTGCATTACCCCTTTGGATGGTACAAGAAATGTAGACGTGCAAGTCTCATTGGATTACATATCCGAAACGCGAGGTGGTTTATTCCTATCACGGGATTCCCTACATGGCATTCCCTCTAAGGTTTATGCATGATGCCAATTTATCAAAGCAATTAAATATGCAATTTGAAATGAAAACATGACTTAAGGAACCCTTTGTATGCCAGGGTGAGCCTAGAATGATGTGCAATTATTAACCTACGAATGCAATACACTGAAATTTAAACATGCAATAACCTATCTAGAAGGGTAAGTTCTAAAAAAGTATCATGCCAGATCTCTTATTTCCTAACATTTGTGAATGCAAAAGACAAGAAAACAAGAAAATGTTAGTTCAACAATTAATCACATAACACGTTGAACAATTTAGATGATACAAGAAACAAAAAGATAAATAAGGAAAGAGGGGTGGAATCCCTCCCTTCGTGCCTAGTGTTCCTAATTGGGTACGGTCGACTCTATCCTAGGCGATTCCTAATATAGATGCATGACGTTAGGCTCACTAATGTATCTAGACTCGATAAGGTTTCAGACTCCCAAACCTTCAGACCAAAGGCAAAGGATCATCAATCCCAAAACCTAAGAGTCGGTGGTTCGAGTGATCTCTCGGACATTGCTACGCACACGTCATGCCACAGCCACATGTCCAAGTGGATCGATCCTAATCCTAACGGGTGGAGTGGTGTGACAACCACTAATAGTAAAAAGAAATGAGGGTTTATAAAAGTAAAACGTATGCACGTATGAAGTGCTCCTATTGAAGGGAAGGATTGAATACCATTTAAAGCGGGTGAAGGTTCTAGGGTGACTAATTCCCCCCACCCAAAAATGCAAATGCGATATATAAACAGAAATGAAAAGTAAACACATAAACGATCGCATGCGTGGATTTTTGAGACGATTGTGTGTTAGATGCAATAAATCCTAAAAAAAAAAAGAAAAATACAACCCTAAACCTCCAAATATGATATATAAAAGGGTTAAAATAAGAAAATGATTGACTAAATCAAATGCTCGGACTCTGTAAGTCCCCAGTGGAGTCGCCAAGCTATCGCGCCCCATTTTTAAAATGAAAAATAATGAGTTTAGAAAATGAATTTTGATTTATTTTAATAGAAAAATGAATTTTTGATTCAAAAAGAAAATAAGTAAAGAAAAATGGGTCTAAATGGGACTTTGAAAATGCGACGGTTTTGATCCAAAATAAAGTTTAAAAAGGGTTTTAAATAAAAACAGGAGTCGCCACTTGGTATTGAGTTAAGGTGTACCAAGTCATCCAAAAAAATGAATTTTAAATAAAAAATAGAGAAAACCCTTTTTAAACGACTTCGAATCTACGAAAATCAGAGAAAAGTGTTCGGGAGTCACATTTGAAGAAAGGGAAGGCAAGGCTAAAATCCAAGGCACCCTTTTAACCTAGCCAAAGTTAGTTGCATGATTTAGTCAAAGATTTTCTTATTTTTAACCTAAGAATTTATCACATTTGAATGTCACTATATGGATGCAAATCCTAAACCTAATGTATCGGGATCAACATGTCTCTTCGAATTTTAATTGGTGCAAATCGTATTAATTGCGATACACAAAAGTAATTATTTGAAGAGGTCACGAATGCATAAAAATATGAGACTCTAAGAAAAGAAAATAAAAGAAAATAATAATATACAAATATACATGACCTAGATGAATGCAACATAACGGGTGCGGGGAAACTCCTATTCGTGACTTTAATTTTCCCTTTAATAGAGGGAATACGAGCGTGCTAAGGCTAGAGAGCCAAACTCGTCCATATCCCATATTCGAGGGGTTATTCCTAATCTAATCAAGCAAATGTACTAACCTAGCTCTAATTCTCAAATGAAATGCAAATCTAATGTCATATTTTCATACAAAGGGGTAAGGAATACACATATAAGGGAAAATATAGGTTAAGGGAGATACGTATAAGGGGGATGTTATGCAAAAATGATAAAAGACCCTAGAAAGTAAAAATATGCATGAAAATGTAGTGTAGTCACACAAACATGATCTAGCGTGTGAATGGTTCCTAAGGGTCTAGCGTTAGACTAGTATGGATTCGAGAAAGGGGGCCACAACTAGCGTTGGACTAGTGTGGAGTCGGGAAAGGGGGTCACAACTAGCGTTGGACTAGTGTGGTGATGACATGCATTAATTATAACTAACTAATCATGTAAATCATAATAAAAGCATGTAAACACATAATATCACATAAATAGATAACACATAATCATGATATCTAGATGCAAGGCCCTAAGAAAGCGAATAACACATAACACATAAGCATGCAAAATACACAAGCAATTAAAGAAAATAAAGCCCTAACTATTACACTTGAGGCCCTAACTACAATTTAAAGGGGGGGGGGAAAGGAATAAAATAAATAAATAAATCCCTAACTATTACATATTCTATCTAAATACAGGTTTTGAACCCCTAACTATTACAATTTGGCATTTAAATGCCTTTCAAATAATCAAAATCGAACTAAAATAAATATTCAAAATTTGAAACAAATAAAGCAAATAAATAAAATAAAAACATTCAAGAGGAATGCAACTAAACACATAAAGTCACATAAGTGCACATAGGGTCAAATAAAGTAAAAAATAAAGGATAGAGTGTACCTCCCTTGAGTTGGTGTCCTAATGGAAAGAATTTACTTATTTACTCTCCAAAACAATAAAAAGAGTCAAGGTATCACTTTAATTAACAAATATCCACATGAAAGGGGAAATGGATATGAAATTGAATGAATCGAGGCATTTAAACAAAGGTAAACAAACAATATTTATGAAATTAAAACAAGTAGGGACTTGATTGTGAAAATTAAAGATATTTGAGAGGTCAATTTATTATTATTAAAATACTAGGGGTCTAAAAAAAGGAAGAAAAAGTAAAATTAATGACTTAAGAGGCATCATAGCAAAATCAAATGCTAAACTTCACAAAATGAATGAAAACCCATTTGTTATAATTAAACGACAAAATTAGCTAAAATTTTAATCAAATGGAAATCAAAACTATAAGTTCTTCAAAATTATTAAACTTTCACTATTTCATCCAAAAATTCCACTAAAATCTGTCCAAGAATTATGTTAAAACATATTACGGGAAAAAAAACATGTTAAAAGGATTAAATTATTCAATTATTTGGGCTAAAGTCGCATTAATTGGAAACAACAGGGAGCAAAGTGCAATTTTTTATAACGTTTTCATGCATGCAAACAAAGACTTTCGGCAAGCTAAAGCTGTTTTCCTTCTACCATTTCTGCTGTAATTTTTTCATCCGCAAGCTTCTGCAACTTTATGTAAACCTTCAGCAAACAAAATTCATACAAAAACTTCGAACCAGCTCCAATTAAAAACATGGCTCAACCTCGCTTAACAACATTGAACGCTCCAACTAACAAATGGAACCAAAGCTATTGTCTATAAATGAAAACTTCAGCTCTTCAAAACATCAAACCCAGACAAGGAAAAGAATACCAAATGCATGTTTCACTCTCCCCCTAGTTTGAAAACTAACGGCTTTTCTAACTACAGCTATAAACATGTTTATGACATTCCAATCAAAGCACGAGCAAATCAAGCACTTCAAACAATCCAAAAAACTGCAACAACCCAAAATGATTAACAAACCTTGCGGCAACTCGCTTTCCACAATTTCAGCATGCACATGAAACATTTATACACCCCAATGAAACATGTAGATACATCAACTAATGCACCAAAACTCAACCCAACTCGCTTTGACCAAACAACGAAATCATAATATAAAACCATAGTTCCAGTTACTGCCTCCCCCCCCCCTCCCAAAAGATTCTACAAACACAATGCTTCATTCATCTAGCATCTGCATATCTGCTATCTGCAACTCTAACTCGCATTTGACAAATGCGAGGTCTATATTTCTAACCCCTAAATGATTTTTGCGGGTGTAGGTTGTAATACGCGACCACACAA